CGGAATTCAAGAAAACCTGGGATTAGCACATTTCCACAGTCGCTCTACGTGGGATATCTTTCCAGTGTTCGCGCGACTGCTGTGAAAGTCCAACAGCCAGACGGTCCATCCGACGCATCGCGCGCGAAAGTGTGGCGAGAAGTAAAGAAATAAGGTGAGCGGCAATCTGCTGGGGACCAAGAAGTTGGCCGAAACGATCGAAGCGAGTGGGGAGGATGCGAGAAGAGGAGTAGTACAAAGTGGGGTGTGAAGAGACGAGGCAAGAGAGGAAAAAGAGGAGTCGGCCGGTGCTTTGCCTCATTCCCAAGTGCAGGCAAGTGCCTGCGCTGGCACACCAGCAAGACTGTCATTGGGCAAGGCGACGACGATGACTGTATGGCGAGCAGTGGAGCCCGCTCGTTGCTGAGCCAAAAAGTCATCTGTAGGAGACTAGCAAACAGGGGCTGGGTGAAAGGTCATTTCGAAAGGTGTGATCAGCCCAGGCTGACGTGGAAACGTGTGGCCAGCACCCCTGGCCGTCCTAGAACTCCGTGCTCGAGGCTGTGTTCGGCTGGACGGCCAAATCGGCCGCCAGCTTCTTCAGCTGAGGGTGCTCTAGCAAGGCGTTTTCGCCCAGAATCTCCACAATCTGTTCGAAGTAGCTGCCGGCCTCCCGAAGCATCACTTCTATGCACGGACCCATCAGGCGCTCGAAGCTGGACACATCCAGCACTGCCGGGCGACAAGTAGGCGGGGAAGAATGTGAAAAAAACAAAGCAGCATAAGCGAGAGATATCATCGCGTTTGGATTCTTGTGCAGAACAAAGAGAGGGATCGACTTGTCTCGGTAAAGAAAATGCGTTTCAGAGGTCATTTCTCCTTCGTAACCATGGTTTGGGCGCCTAAGCTGCGGCTGGATATAAAGAGCATTCAGCCAAACAGAATTATGGCGGTGATCTTGCATTGACACGCCAGTGAAAATAAATGGATGACACCACGTGAAAGCGCCTACTACATAAACCATTATTATTATTAAAGTGGATTGACCTCGTTGTCGCAACTTGGTCTTGTTGTCAGGGTGACTTAGTAGAAAGCACCTAGTCCGAAGTCCTCTGTCATAGTAGTTGTCATGAGTCCCAGCATTGGACAGTGGACTTGGTACATTTTAAAACGTTTCGCCGGTATCGTAGTCGACATCATCAGTGAGCTTTGCCATTCTCTGCACAAAGCTACGAACTTGTCAAAGAGACAAGTAAAGTCAATCCCTCAAAAACGTTTTGCCGAAAACGGCTGCACTATCACTCCTCTTTCTCTCATTGTCTATCTATCAACTCTTCACCCTCTTATCCCACGGCTGCCCTATCATAGCTTCTCACTTGTTTACAAAATGTGTGCCCTTTTGTTGCAAATCTATTGTGGCATCATCACACTTGCTAGCTACCCCGACCCCTCGCTTTCGATCAGCTTATCCGACTCGGGCCTCCAATCCGGATCTCCTCATTGTCTCGTAGATCCGTTCCTTCTCTTTCTGGTTGACCGATTTCACTCGGTTTCAGTCCCAGTTTGCATTTCACTCCAGGCGCTATTGCTCAAGGCCCTAGAATCACAAACAATCGCCGCCTCACCGAGGAGAGCTCCTAGACTATGATTCAAATGCTTGCAGATATCAGGACTTCCCTTCACGGGTCCTCTTCTTGATTAAACTCATGTTACCAGAGCAAACTGTGAGCGCCCATCTCTGGTCGCATGCGGCATTTCAAGCGGATTTCTGGTACATTTTGGCCATAACGCCGAAGTTCCGTGACGGTTTGCTTATCCCTCTGCCCCGCTCTTTGACTGCCAGGCCCACAAAGTTGTACTGGTTTATTCGAAATGGGCATCATTCACTGACAATGTCTTCACTTTAGTCCCGAAAACCCCTGCCCCCAGTTTCTTCATCGCGATGCCTTTTCCTCCGTTTAGCGATAGATTCCTGATCCTGGCGTCTCCTTTTTGCTGATCTTGCTCAATTCCTGTTTTTTCCGAGTTTGCTTGAAAAAATTCTACCTTCCTCCAATCTTCTGTTCATTAGATTTTTCTCCCCAAGCATGC